AAGATAGGACAATTGTATAAAAACTGCAGTTCCTTCAAAACATTTTGTATTTTAGGCTTCACCAATTCACACTGCTTTTCTCCTTTAAATATCCTAAATATTAAGTTTTCATAAGACTAGAGGAAACTCTTTGATGTATATTCAAGATAAAAAGTAAGCATTTCATTTAATAAGGAATTCTGTGCAAAATTGCTATAAAAATGAAAGGTATGAAGTACTAAGAAATGTAAGCAAGCAAGCTTGAGGAAGCTAGTGTGACTTCAGGAATGACACACACCTCTCTCTCTACCTGACTTCATTCAGCTTCACACTAGCTGGGAATGATCAACTCTGACTTTCCTCACTCTCCATTTGAAAGGCAGACCTATGTCCATCTCACCAATATCTCTGACCTTTACTTACCTCATCTGTAAAATGTAATAACAATCACCCTACCCACTTCACAAGGCTGATGTGATGAACAGAATTAGAAAAAATGTGAAATTGCTTTGTAAACTCCATAGGCCCATGAGCTGACAAGGGGTCACTAGTACTGTCATTACTGGACTATATCCCAAGTCTTCTCTATCCTTTAGGCCTTTACCCCTTAATAATTTTTCTATTTTGTGTTTGATGACAGGGCAAAGCACAGTTAACTAAATACTCTTGAGAGTTAGCTCCACCTAATGACAGGAGACACTCTAGGCAAATATCAGAAGAGCTAAGCTTTGATTAAGGATTCTTAGAAAATCAGAGCCTCAGTTGGACTTATAAGAAGTTCCAAAGCTAGAAATAAGAGCTAGAAAATATGATTCCCCACCTCTATCCTACTTCTTGGGGGCAAAGCTAATGGGGCTGGATCCAGATGCTTTGTGTGAGATCTTCTGAGGAGGTGGTTATTTTGGAAGAATAGGTTCAATTCCCAATCATGTGCTCATCCAGAGAAACACTCCATAGTACAAAGGGAGCAGAGGCCAAGATAACAAACAAGGCTGGGAGGACATGCTTTGGCACCATCCCTGGAACTGTGAGACTGTTCCCTCTAGTCATAGCTAAGTGCTCTCAATCTAGGCCTCACTACAGGGCAGAAGAATATCTCACTCATAGACTCACTGAGATTTCTCAGCTCCCTAAAACTTAATCACCCACACAAGTGAATGAGAAAATCAGCCAAGGCCCAAGACCCATTCACCAGTACCACAATCAAAATAGTCTTCCTAATTTGCCCAGCCTTCCCATTTGGAAACTACTCAGAGACCAACAACCCAGAAACAAAACCCCCCAAACTCCACATCACGGCCAGGTTGGGCAGTTTCCTAAGCCACAGACAAAACTGGGGCACAAAACACAAATAGATGTGATAGGTTCTGACAGGGGCTGTCTCAATGGGGGAAAAGCACAACCCTATCCCTCCAACTCCTCCCTGAGTCAGCCAAAAGTCAGAGTGAAAAAAAAAATGTTTTTCAGGGCCTACGGACTTCCTTGCGCTCAAGCTGGGCTGTTACATGACTCAGTTAATCTTTAGAAGGCATTTGGAAGAAAGGAGAAAGGAAGTGGAACCCAGGAGCTTTCTGATAAACAGTCCCCATGGCTAGAAGGTGGCTAGGCTCTGTATGCCTTCTGTGGACATGTTTTCTAGGCATTTGCAAGCAACGAGGATCTTGCTCATTCTTTGTCCACTTCCCCAAAAACATCTCTCCAAGTCTTGCTGGGCTCCAGCTCGCATTTTCTAGAGGACTTTCTAGTGCCTGGACCTTTAATGGGTGGGCTCTGGAGCTCAGCAGGAGCTGAGTGATGCAGGAGGTTGCTAGGATACTGGTAAATGGCTGTTCCAGAATCCCCTGGTGAGGAGCTGGAAGGGAAAATTTCTGAGCCAGAATTTTGTCCATCGTAAGAGCAAAATCCTATCCTCTATCCAATTAGGTCAGAAAGGAAGAAAGGGAACTAGAAACTTAGTTGGGAAAAGATGGGACAAATCAGAGAGGAAAAGCCCTCTTCTCCTCCTTTTCCCCTTCCACTTACAGTACAGATGGGGGCAGAGTAGATGAGGCTATATCAGAGGGGAGAGTAAATGGAGAACGGAGAAGATGAAGAGACAGAAGAGGGGGGGGGGAAGTTAAAACGCAAAGGGTTCCACTCCTCTGGGCTGCATTTTTCATATTCTCCCACTCTTCTCTTTTTGCATATCCTCACAAGTCTGAAGGAGAAATGCCAAACCTTTAGGATTCACACAAGGAAAAAGTCACACTGCCAACTTTGGTTTTCTACTTCCCAAACTCCCTTTTAGCTGCTCTTGGGTGGCCTGCCATCTGGCTAGCAACAGCCCCTTACTTGCCTAGAGATAAATTAATCTGGAAAATGCTTACCCATTTTGCCAACTAAATTACAGATGGAAATACCCCTTTAGCCTGAGGGGTTGTGAGGTAGCTGGAGGAGTGGTAGGGGAAATACCCATCCATTCTGGCACCAGTCAAATCTTTACAGGCCCTAGCACAAGGAGCCCATTCAGAACTGTGGAACACGCAATGCATGCCCTGCTGTTTTTCCTCATTCCTAGCACAACCAACCCTCACCCACATTCAAAAGTGCACCCTCTCCCCTCCACATACACACACAGAGAATGGTGTGCATACACACCATAAACATACTGCCATACACCCTACACACATACATTCCCAAAGGTTCTCTACCAAGGGTCTGTCAGGCACTCAGAAGTGAAGGTTGTGGCATTTCATAACACTACTTTGGCACAAACCTGGCTCAAAGACTAGACTTAGAGAACACTTCCCACTTTAAAGACAGAGGGGGGAAGAAAGAAAAAAGCATCCCATTGTTGTAACCCAGTTTTCTTCCCACAAAGCTAGGTAAAAAATCTCTTAGGGAAAACTTAAGTTTCACCAGATACCAGCAATCAGGTTATCTCCTCCCTCAACCCTATTACCCATTGATTAACATTTCATTTTTCTTCTCACTTGTCTTTCCAGTTCATCACCCTCTGATTTCAAGTGCACATGGGCACCCAAAGTCACCAAATTCAATAACTTGGAGGTTACCTAAGCCAACCATCCCCAAAAGCCAATGTTAGAGGAAATCCTAAACACATTGAGAAGGGAAAAAAATGCCCAAGGTCAAATAAACCGCGTGAGAGAACCCAAGTCTGTAGCTGCCCAGCCTAGAGATTTTCCTGTCCAATGTGTCTCAAAACAAAGTGCCCAGCCAAAATATAAGCTTACTTTAAATAATACCACTAGAGCTAAGGATGTGTGTGTGGTAGGGGGGTGCTTACAAGATTCTCTTTGCAAAGAAAGGAATTCAGGTCAATCCAGAAACCCCCCCCCAAAAAAGGGACCAAAGGGTAAATAATAAGAATTAATACCACCACACTTCCCAGATTATGCTTATACTATGGTACCAACAGAATTAAAAAAAAAAAAAAAAAAAACACCTTTTACCCACATCAAGCCAAGAGCACACCCTGAGGCTTAAAACCTCTTATGACGCCATTAAATAATACTTTCTGGGTTCTGAGGTCAGGGCAATTTCAAGAGCCCCCTTCACAGCCTCTTTCCCTTCATAATCATTTCCAAAGAAATTGAACAACAGGATATGGAACTTGACAGCACAATGGCAGCAGATTCATATATCACACAGGGGCAGCCGCCCACATGGGTACACAGGGAACATGCCTGTAGACTGTATGCGCCCTGATTCATTGCTACATGAGCCAGATATGGCACTATTTCAAGTCAGGTAAACTCAGAATGAGGAATATCTGCCAATCAGTGGGTGGGAGTTGGGAGAAAATAAATATCATACACATTGGCATCAGAGACAATTTCTTCCTGGCTTTTCCAAAAGCTTTCCCAGTGGAAAGAGAAATATAAAATAATAACAATAGCAATAATAACAGCAACCACCACCACCACCAGCTGACAGAAATGCAAATATATGTCAAAATTGAATGTTACTTGTAGTTCATGTCTTCCCCAGCTCTCATCCCATTCCATCCAGACGTTTTTTGGGGGGAGGGTGCTCAAAACTCTCAATTTAGCATGATAAACACTTGCATTTTGTTATGGAAATCTTTCAATTAGAGAAACCTCTGATCTTAAAGAACAAGGAAGCAAACAAAAACCACCACTTTGTCATTAGCACTAGCAAGTTCTATTTAAAATGTAGTCCCAAGAATATCATGCAAATGAGAATATCCAAAAGAGGCATATACAAATACCATTATTCCCAGACTGGGTAAAAAGCTGGCTTTTGTTGTTTTTCAGAGGACACACAGAAAAAAATCTGCAAACTCAAATCCAATGGTACAATCTTCTTTTGGAAAAGGAAGCTAAACAGCTCTTGTCAATGTCTCCTCTTGCCAATTCATAAAGATCAGAGAAGGCTTTTATGTCTCAGTCCATGATTCCAAAGAAACTGTCATTAAATGTTTTAATAAATGCTTTAAAGGTGGCTTCTTTCCAGATTGTAAACTGTGAACCCTGGACAGCAAATTTAGAGTCAAAGGACACAGTCACCAACTGCCAGCTCATTGCACCCCACCACATCCCTTCTCAAATTCTCGCTTCTCATTAGAAACTAAAGAATCATTTTCCTTAAATTCATTTTTTGTATCGATTTTTCCCTCTAAACATCCAGCGCAGGGCTGTCTTTCCTAAAATGTCCAAAATCTATAACGCTCTTCCCACATCCCCCTTTTCTCCAGAAACAAACCCAAATTCACTCCTGATGGCAGGAGAAAATTTTTGACTAAAATTCCCTGATGGAATTTAAAGGTAGTTTTCAAGAAAATGAGTTGACAAGACATCATAAATTGCAAAGCCACTGTTAAAGGACGCAGATCTTGCTCCGTGAACGTCACATAGATGGAGAATGCACACATACATGCACACTTAAATAGGATGCATTTCTTTATCAACAATTTTACTCAAGCAATAAGCAACTACATTCACAGCCATATTTAAAAGACAAGACATGACAAAAGATTTAGGGAGAGAGAATATACCAACGTCATACATATCACAGCGAGGCCATGTTGAAGCTCAAAACGTTTCCCCCCTGAGTAAGAAAGCTTGGTCTTTCTCTCCCTTCCTTTCCCTGTCTCTGTCTGTCTGTCCGTCTCTCTCTTTTTTCTCGGTAGTTCTCGGGATGAAATCAAAGCGAGAGTTCGCAACAGCTCAGGAAGCTGGACTCCATTCAGCGCGTTCCCAGGAAAAACATGAGTATGACATTGACAAGCAGGAGGACTACAATCACGGCAAAAACAACTACGGTTTGCACATCCAGGGTCATGGTGCAATGCAGAACACTGTAGTGTTCCAAGTGGGGGGCCGGCAGATTGGGAGATGTCAGTCTCTGTTCTGTCAGACTGTCCATACAGCCACCATGCTAAAAAGAAGAGGAGGAAGTCGGATGGTTGGGGAAGGGCTGGGTCTGGCGCCCGAGTTTGGTATGGGGTGGGGGAGGGGATGGGGACAGGGGAGACTGCTTTCCCCCTTCTCAGGATTGAGCTGATCTTTCCTCCCTAGCTGAGAAATTTTAGCTCACGCTGAAGTCGGCAGAGTCCAGCATTCTCTCTCAGGCGTCAAGGAAAAGGCAAAATCCTGGCTTTCAAAGGGAAACGCGGGAGGAACCAGTGCAAGGTTCTCCGGCGCCTGATCGTTCTGTCCGGGCGTTCGTCTGTCCACCTGCCTGGCTATAAGTCAGTCTCGGTCTCCCCGTACTCCCTCTATATCGCTCGCTTTCCTAGCTTGCTCGCTTTTCTAGCCAGCTTGTCGCTCTCTCCGCGGGGGTCCCGGCTGCCAGCCTTTCATTTAAATCCTCCCTTGCTGGTTCTCTCCCTCTCTCTCCCCACCCCCCAGGCGGTAGGCGGCCTTTTTATTCACCTAGCTACTGTGGGCGCCTGCGTGAGGCACGACCCGTGTTGCTGACAGTGCTGCCGGCCAATAGCAGGTGCTACAGCCGCGCATTTACTAGCTGGGTGGGGCGGGACTTCAGCTGGCGTGCTAGCCACTGTAGCCAATCAGAGGGCCCAAGCTCCCCCCACCCAACCCCGTCCCTCTAGCTAGAGCCAAAGGCCACGGGTACCGGTGTGGGGGTGAGGAGTTTGTTGAGGGTGCACTGAGAGGGATGTAGGGAGAGAGAGTGAAGGGAGTACACAGAAGTGGGAGGAAGGAAGAGGTTATGGCAGGAAGGAAGGGAAAGAGGAATAAGGGGAGGACTTTAGGAAGCAGGGGAAAAGAGAAGGAAAGAGGAGGGAGAAAAGATCTAGGATAAGATGAAGAAAGAGAAGGGTGATGGAAAGTAAGGGGGAAAAGGTTGACGAAGGAAAAGGAATGGAAAAAAAGAGATAGTTGGGGAGGAGGCATGCCTTGGCAGCCACATTTTTTGGATTCTGGGCCAAGAAGGAAGCAAAGGTGTCTTCGGCCACTGCTTTAAGTATTTATAGACAACTCTTAATTAGTAGTACATATTTTAAAAAATCAGTGCTGTGTATAGAACTACAAGCACACACTACAAATACACACTGCTATCCCTCCATTCACAGGTCTATTTCCCTTCCTGTTTATGGTTTCTTTAGACTGTTTGCAGCTGAGTACTATGAAGAGAAGCCAACTTTGCAGTGGAAAAGCTTCTACAAAACTTGAAATATATTTGTAATCATTGCCCTCCTGCTCTGCGTTCCTGACCCGATATCTGGAGCTAGGGGAAAAAACAAAAAACAAAAAACAAAAAAAAAAAAACACACTGTGCTGGAGACAGAAAGGTTTCAGATTTACTCCCAGCCCAAATTCAATCTTACTTTCTGACTTTTGGGTCACTCCTTTCCTTTCCCCTCTCTTGGCCTCCATCTCCCTTCTGTCACATGAGGACTTAGACCTATCTGAAAATTCAGTGAAACCTCTGAACCCTCACCTCAGAAAAATACATGCAATTTCAATTTCAGCAGGCTCCTGGGCCCTCAAGAACCCAGGACTCCCTTATACAGATCTCTGAAGGCCCTTCTTCCTCTTTCATCCAAAGACTGTAAAAGTGAATAGATAGATATTGGTGGAGGGGGGGCAGGAACTAGATTAGACAGGAATAAAACAAATTAAATTCTGGAACTCTTAGAATACTATAGACTCTAAGAGGAATGAATATTGCTATCTATTCTCTAGAAATTGTTGAGGCTAGAACAGCCACATATCTTAACTAGATGACTGGATATTCTGAATGAATGCAGGCTATAAACAAAATGGTCCTTAGCCCTACAAGATAGAATAAAACCCAAAGAAGTCCCCACTTCAAAGGTTTTGGCTTATAACATCACCTATGAATGATGGATGTCAAATCAAACAACACAAAACCCTGAATCAGATCAAGCTTCTACATCCAATTAGCAATTTATAAAACACACAGAGGACATAAAAAACATATTAAACTGTAATGTGGAAGTACACACTAAAAAAATACAGGACCAACAACCTGAAATTTTAGCAAATAAATAGGAAGAAAAAAGTATGACTCAGGTGAAATGTGTGTGTGTGTGTGTGTTCTGATTTCTGTGCATACACACACATTTGTGACATGAAACCATCGGAAATTTGAACAGGCTGGATACTCAATGATATTAGGAATCACTATTAAGTGCTTAGATGTATTAATGATATTGTGGCAAAGTTTAACAAAATGGAGGCAATAGGAGTAATCTTTGTGACCTTGAATTTGTCAATGTTTTCTTAGATATGACATTAAAAACACAAGCAACAACAACACAATAGATAAATTGGACTTCATCAACATTAAAAAACTTCTGTGCTTCAAAAGCTACTATCAGGTGTATAAAAAGACAACCCACAGAATGGAAGAAAATATTTGGAAATTATATATCTGATAAGAGACTTGTACTTAGAATATATAAAGAGATCAAGTCAAGTCAATGATAAAAAGAATAACCCACTTAAAAAATTAGCTAAGGTTCTGAATAACATTTTTCCAAAGAAATAGTCAGTAAGCACATGGAATGATGCTCAACATATTAGCCACCAGGAGAATTCAAATCAAATGCAGGGAGCTCAGATGCAGGGTATTTACTACAGAATTATTTGTAGTAATATACCAATTTACATCCACTAGAATGGTTTCAATAAAAAAGCTAGACAATAACAAGTATTGAGGACGATATGGAGAAATCAGAACCTTTTTAGCACTGCTAGCGAAAATGTAAAATGATGAAGCCACTTTGGGAAACAGTCTGGTCATTCCTCAAAAATTTAGACATAGAGTAGTTTGACCCAATAATTCTACTTCTATGTATATACCTAAAAGAAATGAAAAAAAGAAAGGGCCACACAAAATCTTGTACATGAATGTTCATAATCACATTGTTCACAATGGCAAAAAGATGGAAAAAACTGAAATGTCCATCAAGGTGAATGGGTAAACAAATGTGGTATATCCATATGATGGAATATTATTCACCCACAAAAAAGAATGGAATACTATTACTGTAACTACATAAATCAACTTTGAAAATATTATGCTCAGAGAAAATGCCAGACACAAAAGGCTTTTGTATGATTCCATTTATATGATATGTTCATATTATTGTGGTTTAATGAAGCTTTCTTTTCACTTATATATAAATATAAATGTGCTAGATTGTGATGTAAAATTTATTTCTTATAGAAGGTAATCCCAAAATAGTTTAAAAGACACTCTGCTAGATTATGTTGAGACAGATACTAGTGATCAGAATAGTACCATAATGTAAGCAACCAGAATCGTTCTCCTTGCTTTTTTAAAGGTTTTTATTTGAATTCTAGTTAGTTAACATACAGTGTAATATTAGTTTCAGGTGCATAATATAGTGATTCAACACTTCCATGCAATACCTGGTGCTCATCACAACAAAAGAACTCCTTAATTCCCATCACCTATTTAACCCATCCCCCCACCTCCCCTCGGGTGACCATCAGTTTATTCTCTATAGTTACGAGCCTGTTTCTTGGTTTGCCTCTCTTTCTCAATTTTTGTTACCTTTGCTCATTTGTTTCATTAAGTTTCACATATGAGTGAAATCAAACAGTATTTGTCTTTCACTGACCGACTTATTTTGCTTTGCATTATACTCTCTAGCTCCATACATGTCATTTCAAATGGCAAGATTTCCTTCTTTTATTATATGGCTGGGTAATATCCGTGTGTGTGTGTGTGTGTGTGTGTGTGTGTGTGTGTACCACCTCTTCTTTATCCATTCATCAATTGATGGACACTTGAACTGTTTCCATGATTTGGCTATTGTAGATAATGCTGCTATAAACATTGGGGTGCATGTATCCCTTTGAAGTAGTTTTTTTTGTATTATTTGGTTAAATACCTAGTGCAATTGCTGAATGATAGGGCAGTTCTATTTTTACCTTTTTGAGGAATCTCAATACTGTTTTCCATATTGGCTGCACCAGTTTGCATTCCTACCAACAGTGCAAGAGGGTTCCTCTTTCTCCAGATCCCTGCCAAGACCTATTTTTTTCTTGTTCTCCTTGACTTTGAAAGTGCATTCATATCCTATCTCCACTTCATTTTCTATTGACCCTTCAATCCACTGTAGCCTGGCTTTCACTCCCATCACATCATAGGAAACTAGAACTTCTTGTGAATATAAACAAATGACCAACTTGTTACTAAATGGCATGGTGAATTTTCCATCTTTATCTCTCTTGGCTTCTCTCCCTCTTGATTTCATTGATGCCTTTCTCCTTCCTGAAATGCAACCTTTGCCTTGGAAACACTATCCACATGATCGGTCTAGTTATACAGTCTTTACTTCCTGCCTGGGTTCTTCATTCATTCATTAAGGCCATGATTTCTCATGGTTTTCTAATCTCATTCTACTTTTCTTCTCATTCTGTGCTTGCATTGAATGTTGGACCCATCCATTCCCGAAGCTTGAACTACTACCTACATTACACGCTGATACACCTCCTTTAAACAAAGTTAATGGACACTAGGGGGAATAAAACCCTTGCCTGACTGGATCTTACAACTCTCTGCTGATGAGTCCCAGGTAGTCCTCTTGAATTGCAGAGATGAATTTCCAACTGCTTTCTGGATTTATCCTCCCAAATACCTCACAAGAACGTCAAACTTAATAAATCTAAAATTGAAATAATCTTCTCCCATCCCTGCCAGCTTCCTCTTTCCCTGAGTTCCCTGTCTCGTAGGAACGTCTCCTTGCCAAAAACCTGGGAGATATACATACATAAGTCTTGTCTCTCACTCATCTTGCTTCCAGCCAACCAGTCCTCCAAGTCTTGGTGATTCTCCCCTTCTTTAATATCTCATGTGTCCTTCCTCTGTTTCCCTGCTGCCAGTATCTTTATCAGTGCCTCATCATCTCAGATTCTATTTCTATCCATTACTTGGTTACTTGTGCTGCTCTCTCTCTCTCCAATTTAGCTTCTATTCTCCTGTCTAAATTATCTCTCTCAAAATCAGTACAGCTCTTATCAATCCTATGGTGGATACTATAGATTGGGTGCTCAGGATCCATACCATCCTCTTTCTAGTCTGCCTTCCTATATTGCTGAAAAACTCAAAACCAAAAACCTACCATAGCCTGTCATTTCTCAGGCTCCTTTGCATCCAGCGTTCTGGATGTGATTTATTTCTGGTAATCATATGCACATGCACAATATTTGGAAGGAGGTAATGACGCAGAAGCCATATTTCTGCTGTTTCTATTGGCAAGCATAGTGATGGAGATTTTAGGATTTTCTGCAACCATATTATTTTTCCATAGGCCCCAGTTGTTACTGGCTTTGTATATTTAGGAAGCCAGAGCATTG